GGAGGCGACAAAGCAGAACCGCATCTGTCAATTTTCATCATCTCTACCACTTCATTTAATCTTTCTCCGTGAAAATTTCCGCCTCTACTCTGATCACTTTGGGTGAGGTATGCGATAGTGGTGTGCTCCTGAATTTGCAAGAAGAAGACTTTGCTTTACTGATGACATTTTAAACGCGCTCCACAACTGTCATCCCAACAGTGCACAGATTATGCTAAACCGAAAGTGACTCACTGTCTAGACGCTGACAATTTGCCATTATTATAAAATAAAACCATCTATTAGTCAAAAGAATTCATTAAGGCAAAACCACCGATGTTCTATCCAGAGGGGCAAAAAAACCTAAACTCACTAATTTTTGTACCACTTAGCAACCAGTTTTGTCAAGAGAAAGGGTCTGTTAGATTGCCAGGCAATGTGGCCTGCTCGCTTTCCTTTATTTTGTCGCATTTCAAATGAGACATACTGTGACTCGTTGTTGAAGAGATGGGCACAATTCTCGACGACACGTTTCTTCGAGAGAGCTTGCAATCTCTCACCAGCTACATACATTAGCTTTGATTTTATTGCAGGATAATTTCTGAGCACCTCAAAGAGGTCCTGCTGTTCCAGCGAATAGAGATTACAGTAGGTTCTCGCCTGAATCGTTGCAGTGCGTCGAATGTTGGTGAGAACTGCAATCTCTGCCAACAGAAGGGAATAAAAGAGGGCCTGATTTAACCTTTCCGTATTCCAATTGACAGTTAAAAGGGATCGCCTCTATCTGGATTGAACAACTTCTAGAAAAGCTAATTTTCTAGATCCGATTGAGCAATAGGAAGACGTCGAGAAAGTAATCAAAGGTTTGCTTTTCACAACACGACTGATTGATGTTACTCCACTAGTCGTTGGTGATAGTTTTGGTCATGTAAACTCACTCCAATTGACATGCAAAACAATAAAATCTCTGCCTGTTTTTAAAAGCTAACGTTTATTTCTTTGTTGCTTAAAAAAACTGTCTTTGTCTAGCCATTATCGTTCCATGCCACCCACATGCCTCAAAATGTTCGCCTCTTAATGGAATGTAATCACGTTTTTTTTAAAGCTGAATGTGGTGTTAAAAAAGGTGGACCGATTTTACCGGGTTCCTCAGCATCTAGAAGAAAGACTTTCAAGTTCTGGCACAAGGGTGTGCTGGCATTGCAAACAGTGTTTTGGGGATGGCCAGTTTAGTGTGAGAGAGAATCGACAAATTTCTACATAATTTTAGAATTCAAATAAAAAGGAAAACTTTGAAGGAGATAAAAAAAAGATATTCACGAGAAGCATATTTTTTTGGCATTATTGTGAGGGCCACTAAAAATAGGCACCTAGCGTAATGTGGAAGGAAATGAAAACTAAGTCTGCGATTAGCATCTTAACAGACGCAAGAACAGAGGGAGCATAAAAATTGCTGATGAGTGAAAGACTTTTAAATTGAAATTTTGGCCATTATTTGGGGTTTTCGCATACCCACTACACCGTCCAGACAGTAAGCCCTTGTAATCAACGAAGCCGATTGCATCAAATACTCAGTCATAAAAAAGTCTTGGAGAAGATGATGATTGAATAATTAACATGATGGATACGGTTTTTAAGAGAGGACTATGAAAAATCTTGTACAGGGTCCGAACCTCCTCCGAGTTCTGAGAAGTTGTGCTACTCAGCTTACGGCTTACTGAACAGTTTCAAGCTCCACGCGTCCCATAAGGAATGCCGTGGAAGTCTGTAAGTGCCCTGCTACCAAAACCCAGATATGAGCAGACAGTTGCGTTTGATCTTTTTGAAAAACAACGGGACTTTTGAAGTCTTAGGGGAGAGTAATATTGCCCATGATCACAATGGATCGTCTTTAATGCTCACATTTTTTAATGCCCTTCAAAACGCATTAAGAAACTAGCAAACGGCTACCCAGTTATTTATCTAACGATGACTTTCAGTTTATAAAAACGGGTGATCCAAACCATAACAACTACTGGACGAAAGATTGGGACATTTTATAACTTTTCCTTTTTTAT